AACAAGGGTTTTCATTGTTACGTAACAATGAAATTTAACAATACAATAGATTTTAAGTAACAATCAAAACAAACATTGTAGATATAGTAACGATACAATACAATACAATGGATAACAATGATCCAAACATAGTGTTATAATTTGGACTCAATTTCAGTTCTAGTTTGTTGTTATCTGAGTTTGCCCTCTTTAGTAACTTTCAATTACAAGTAGTAATAACAGTTTTTCGTAAACAAATCAATAGTATTTTATTTTTGTTTTCTAAATTCCTCTTTTTCAGATTCATATTAATTGTGTTAGTTGATCTTGGCTTTTTACATAACACGTTCATTATAAAATAATAATATTACAAACTTATGGATATTTTTGACAATTTTTAGAACTTCACTATAAGAAAACTTTTAATTACACGGGAATTTTCTTAGGAATTAATATGAAAATTTGCAGGAAAATAAGATTCTTGCGGATTTTCATACTGATTCCCAGAAAAATAGGAAGAAATCCCGTGTAACTAACAGTTTTCTTATAGTGCTATTTATATCAAGTAATAATAAGGATCTTTTCATTTTTCGTGTGATATAATTCATGAATTTTTTGTGTGTTTGGCCAAAAAATTTTGTGGCCATAAGTGAATATGTTCTGGCTTACACAACGGTCAACTTTGTGATTTCGAATAAATACATTCTTTATTATAAAAAGAGAAAAGACTTAATATGCCATCAAACTTCGAGTTAAAAATTATCTATGCCATCGAATAATGTACCCTACTCCTTATTGACAGTATGGGAATAAAATCAAAAGAAAATCATTGTGTGACCAATAAATGATTTGGTGTAAAACTTGTGAGTACTTTAACGAAAAGAAGGTACTCCATATCAATTATTTGGACGAGTCAAATGATGAATATTTATAATTCTTTATTTTAATCGTCAGGTGACATGTTCAATATCATCAAATTTAATTTTTTAAAGAAAGAATTGTATTAAACAAAAATTAAACAAATTAATAAAAATAAAGGAATACATTATCGTCGTAAAGAAACAGAAATACCATACTCATTACGGATAGCATGTGAATGAATCAGTAAGAAAATCAATGTGTGACGCGACCTACATTGATTTGGTACAAAATTTGAAAGGAAGATTTTTAAATTTTATTTTCTAAAATAATTTGTATATATATTTGTACAATTATAACTCATACATACACACACACACACATATATATATATATATAATTTTTATTTCAAAAATGTCATGTGACATGTTCAATATTAATCAAAATTAACCAAATAAATCGAAACTGAAGGAGTACCTTGTCTTCATAAAGAAATAGAAATACCCTACTCGTTACGGACAACATGTGAATGATTCAGTAAGAAAATTAATGTGCGGCTAATATTGATTTGGCACAAAATTTAAAAGGAAGATTATTAAAATTTATTTTCTAAGAAAAATAATTACTTATTTTAAATTTACTTCTTAATTATTACCATTTATAACAATATATAACAACATTATATATTTTATTAAATTTGTTTTTCTTTGTCACTTTTTTTAATTTCCCACTCTTTCTCTGTCTCTCGCCTATTTTTAATGAGTAACTTCAATATAACAAACATAACAATCATATTTGTATACTATAGTTATACTTTGCATAATTACGCTTCATATCAAACATAAATATGCATATTTCGCTATACATATACAAAAAAAAAGTTAGATAATCCACTATACATATACAAAGAAACTAGTTGTATAATTCGCTATACATATACAAAAAAAAAAAGCAGTTAGATACAAAGATCAGTTGTATAATTTGTGTATGTATAAAACAAGAAAGAGAGAAAGACAAAAGAAAATTGGCATGAGAATAATTTTATTGTATAATTATAAATGTATAAGACAAAAATATATGTATTTACATATGTATATATAATTTTCTCTCGATTTATACAAACAGAAACACAATTATATACTTCGTTTCTATATGTATAAGCGAGAGAGGCGAGAGTGGCGAGTGAGATCAGGGAGAGTGGCGACCGAGATCTGGATATGGAGGAAAACAAAAATATATGTATATATATACAATTTTGTCTCGCTTTATACAAATACAAACACAATTTATACATTTGTGTTTGTATAAAAGAGAGAGTAGCGAGCGAGAAAAGGAGAGTGGCGAGCGAGAGTTTGAGGGAGAGAGGCGACTGACAAACAGTTTGTTACATGGTACAATTAAATCAAAATGCGATTATAACATTTAATTTGATTTATTAGTTTATCATTATATACAATTTTCCGAATTTTAATTTCTCACTCCGATTATAACCCAATAGGAAAAACCGAAACCGACCTAGTAACCCAATAATTATTTTTTCTAAATCCATTAAAAACCCAATAACCCAATTACCCAATAACAATAACCCAATAACATTTTATCGGTTCGGTTTATTGGTCGATTCGATTTTTGCACACCCCTACTAATTAGTATCGCAAAGAAGAGGATATATGTGAGTTACCTAAATTCTTCTAATTGGTATCACCAAAAAGATGATATATTTTTAAATATGTATATAAAAGTATTGTTCATGATTATAATTCAATTTTAGAACAATTATGAAACAAATCTAATTCAATTTTAATACAGACAATTCCAGAATCTTCATCTTCTTCGAGTTTTAATTTGAAATTTCTCCTAAAATCAATGCTAAACTTAATTAGTTTCCCTTAAAATTAAGATATAAACTCAAAAATGTTTTTTTTTCAATAATACGGAGAAACAACTTATACAAACTCATCATAATTTCGTAAAATCCAAATAATAAATTGAAAACCGAAATTTTTTATTGGTAATCAATGATAAATTCTTCCTACTGTAATTTTAAAATTTTGAAATCTCAATTTACACATATAATTTTGTACAATTTTTAGGTCTTTGTATTCTTTTCCTCGTGATATTTTGAGAGTTAATGGTGCAGTATAAATCAATATGAAGATGTGACAATTTATGGATTGTTATCTTTTTTTTTCCTTTAAAAAAATATAATAAAAAATTGTTATTTGAATTAAAATTTTGAAAAAGAAGAGAAATCATATGTAGAAAAAGAGACTGTCACGACCCAAAATCACGAGTCGTGATGGCACCTATATTCCCAACCAATAGGTAAACCAACTAACATATTTTAACAAACTTAACTAACAAGAAGTGAAAAGACAACAATTTTCAAATCTCCAACACTGAGTTCTTATAAGTACGAATGCAGAAAACTGAAAAATAAATACTACCCAAGAAATGGTGTCATGAGTACAAGAGCTTCTAAAATACGATGCAAGTCTGAAACTAAAAAGGCAAATCTAACATAAGGGATATCCTTTC